AAACATGTTGACACTGAAACATATTCACACTGAAACATGTTGACACTAAAACATATTCACACTGAAACATGTTCACACTGAAACATGTTGACAGTAAAACATGTTGACACTGAAACATGTTCACACTGAAACATGTTCACAGTAAAACATGTTGACACTGAAACATGTTGACACTGAAACATGTTGACACTGAAACATGTTGACACTGAAACCTGTTCTCACTGAAACCTGTTCTCACTGAAACATGTTGACACTGAAACATGTTCACACTGAAACATGTTGACACTGAAACCTGTTGACACTGAAACATGTTGACACTGAAACCTGTTCACACTGAAACATGTTGACACTGAAACATGTTGACACTGACAAAGTCTGAAAGTTGAGTCCAAGCCCTTCCTGCATGGTCTGCATTATCATTATGTTACCCCTTAAAACTCCTTAAACTATAGATCAAAAACCCGTAAAAGGAAAGAGTCTGAAGGTTGTAGGTTCAAACCCTGCCTGTGGTTTGTCATTTCCTCCTGTTAACCCTCAGAGGGCTGTTAAAGGTGTTTCTTATTGACAAAAGGCTCTCTTTGAATGAATCAGTGTGTTTCATAAAGACACTCAGATCCTGAATTCATTAAAAAACGTTTCAGAGGAGGAGGTCCTTCTGAACTGGAAAGAAGTTGTGACACACATTTGGTTCTTCTGTTGGGACGAAGAGTAAAAACACTTTATCAACTTTCCTAACTTGTGAAGTGACATGAAACCATCCATACGTGGGCAGGTTTTGACACAATTGGCCCCTCAAGGGCACAGTCATGAAAAAGGCCCCACCACCTCTCTTATACAGAGGCAAGACACACAAACTCTATGATTCTCTTTTTGTTTTGTGTCTTTTTGTTGTCTTCATGCATCTCTCTTTGTGTCTCTTTGGGGTCATTTGGGATCTCATTGTAGTTATTGTGAGCCTCTTTAGTTGCTTTGTATGTCTTCTGTATTGTCATTGTGGGTCTCTTTGCGTCATTTTGCATCTGTTTTGCATCTCTTTGTAGTCATTTTGTGTCTCTTTGGAGTCGTTATATATTTCTTTGTGGTCATTTTGAGTCTCTTCCTGGTTGGAAATGTCTCTTTGCATTACATTTTGTAAGTAAAAGCCAGGGGGCTCCTGATATTTTGGGCCTCTGGGCCCGTTCAGTCCTCCATCCATTGCTGAAATGTCTTTTTATTTTTTAAATGTACAAAATATAAAAGGGCATGCATGGTTTTCATGCTTTTGAATAGATCTAATCATATAATTTCTATTTAAGTTGTATTTGATTGATTATCTGAATGGTTTAGGGTTTTTAGGGGGTAACAATCCCTTAAGAACTTTAATGGTTCTTTATCAGTGAAGGGAATGGGTTGCAAAAGAGGTTCCCACCAGGCATCGAACCATCGATATGTTGCAGTTGCAGTGTATGCAATGCACCCATCAGGCTACCAAGTTGCTCCATGTAACTTCAATTTTTAATTGAATTCAGCGCTTTACCCCAGAGTTGTGTTGATAGATAATTGAATAAAAACATTAGGGATCTTCTTGGATTAGAAAATAGAGAGGCAACTTGAGAAATGTTGTTGTTAGTGGACATATTCTAAACTTTACAATGCATTAACACATATAGTTTTATTTTAGGCATTCTTTTTAATTTACCACTCACATAGGCCTACCTAAAAACATTGTACAGTAAAGTTAGTTTAAATAAGTTTAAAAATAAATGACTCACTATTATTCTGTCTTTAAATGATAACTAAACTGATTCATTTTGAAATAGTTACATAATTTTTAGCCGGAATAAATTAATTGAGTTCTAATTTTATAAAATATTTTTTATCCTTTAACAAAAAAACATGAGATTTCACCCCAACTTCACACATACATTTTTTTCTGCCCCGCTCACCAGTCAACCGTGTGCATGGTATTTTGCACTTACAATTGCTTTTGTAAACAAAAGCATTATTTTTTTATTTTTATTTTTTATTTTTATTTATTTATTTTTTTCAAATGCTGTCTCTAAAGTGTCTCCGGCTTCCCCCCACAGTCCAAAAACATGCAGCTTAGGTTATTTGGAGACTCGAAATTGCCCGTAGGTGTGAATGTGAGTGTGAATGTTTGTCTGTCTCTACATGTGCCCTGCGATAAACTGGCGACCTGTCCAGGGTGTACCCTGCCTTCGCCCAATGTCAGCTGGGATCGGCTCCAGCGCCCCGCCACCCTGAACAGGATAAGCGGTTTGGATAATGAATGAATGAATGAACAAAAAAACCTTTTTTTAATACTTTAAGTGATTATTTAATAAAACACATAATTATCTAAATATGTCTTATGTGATCATTTATAACAGACCACTGAGGTGTGACAAAGCATTTTCTGATGCAGTAATGGTTTTACACAACAGCAGCGCAATGGAAAAGTGATGAGGGAGCGATTGAAATGAATTACCAAGAACTAAAAAGGTTGCATAAGTGAGGAAACACAAAGCTAGCAGAAAAAAACCCACCATGTCATTCTGGGTCTCATGGTTTTAGTTTTGTCAGCCACTCCTCTTTTCACATTCATACAGGAAGAAACACATCACATGGCAGATGTGAATCACCAGCAGTTACCTTCACCTGCCTATAATCATCCAGCACAACTTGCATCTTTACAGATCTTTTGTCAATAAAAGGTGAATGAAACATCAAAACATTTAGTTTTACAAATTAAAATAGAGAACACAGCATGTCTACAAGTTATTTATTTTGCTCTTAGATTCATGGATAATTTGAGTTAAGAGCACATGTTTCTCACCTGAAATATGACAATGACCCAAATGGAGAAAATTCTACTTTCAATGGAGGTCTGTTTCAGAACTGAGATTTCAGTGTTCAAGACACAACTTTATTGACAATGAGAGTGTTGGACATGAGACATATTTACTTTGTAGCCCAAGATAAAAGCTCTCAATCATGCTTTTATTTCAATGTTATTTCTTTGGCAAATGTATGCACAAAAAACATGTCCTCAATACCTTTCACAGGATATGATGCAAGGTTTGAGATATGATTTAATCAATGATTTGACCGATAAAAGAATAGTGCCATTATTAAAGTTACTGTGAGGAACTTTTAACAGGTCATGAATTTAATACAGATGCCTGTATATATGAACTATAAGCTGGAGACCCAGGCCGTATTGCTGGGCTGATTAGAGGGAAGGGAGGCACAGGAGAACCAGAACCAGGACTGAGCAGACCCTGCTGCGGTAAAATGAGAGGTTTTCTTAGGACGCTGGTGCTTTGTTCACAGGAACCACCAGAATCAACACAAAATAAAAACTCCTCATACCGTTAAGCTGACATTATATTTCCAGCACCTGTCGTTTTCTCTCTCTTAGCTTCTTTTATTTGATAAGAAACATCTTTCTCATGAGGAAAGTAGCGACGCTCTCATGTTCTGGTGTGTCTCCACTTTCTGCCACCTGCAGAGGTGTCTTCCCCACATTATTGGTCACCTGCAGATTCACCTTCTTCCTCCTCTGCCGCCCCATGTTCCCAGTTTGTCCCCAGTTTACAAGCGCCCTCACCACCTCCAGGTGTCCGCCTCGTGCAGCACAGTGCAGAGGAGTGTCTTTACTGTGATCCGTGCTGTTGATCTTTGCCCCGGCCTCCAGGAGCAGCACCGTCACACTGTCGTGGCCCCTCTCAGCTGCAGTGTGAAGCGGCGTTCTCCTCCATGCGTTCCTCTCCTCCATCTCCTTGTTGTTGAAGTGTAGAAGAGCTGAAACCACGCTGGCGTGCCCAGCAGCTGCTGCGTAATGGAGAGCTGTGGAGCCGTCCATGTCTTTAGCCCCTCCCTTTGCCCTGTGGGACAACAGTGAGCTCACGGCATCTACTTTCCCCTCTGCGGCAGCCAGGTGGAGGGCAGCTTTTTTCTCGTTGTCAGTGGTGTTTGGGTTGGCTTTGGCTGACAGCAGCAAGTCTACCACACAGCCTCCTGACTGGGAAGAGGCCGCCCAGTGCAAGGCTGTCCGCCCTAGCCTGTCTCTGACTCCGGGGTCTGCCTCGCCCTGAAGAGGCCGGATCACTGGGCCTGCATGGCCCTGCTGACTGGCTATGTGCAGAGGGGTCAGCCCATCCTGGGCTACTGGATCTACCTAAAGAAACGACACACAACTCCAATTCTCCACAAACATATACAAGAAAAAATCTACAAAATGGACACTGGTTGAACAATTACCTGTGCTCCAGCTCTTTACAACAGACCAACTAGTTCTGGCCTATTGCACTGAGCTGCCAGGTGTAGAGGGGTTTGGGCTTTAGGTCCGGTAATGTTGGGGTCCAATCCTTTTTCCAGCAGTGTCTGCACTATGGGCACACTGCCACTGCGGACGGCCAGGTGCAACGCTGAGGAGAGGTCGGATAAAGTAACATCCAGTTTGGCCTGTTTTGCTACCAGCGCTCTGAAATGAGAAACACATACTTAAAGGTACAGTGTGTAGCATCTGGGGGAATCTATTGGCAGAAATGGAATAGAATATGTTCGTTGTTTACGTTCATTATGATAATTTTGGGGGAGTGGCTTTGGAGGGAGGCCTGAAGGGAGGAGCTGTAAGGGTTGCCGACTCTGCGACTTTCTCGCCAGATTTAGCAACTTTTGGAGCAAGTGCTGCTAGCTACTTTCATTGGAAGAGAGTTGGCTAAACTAGGCTGGGTTATTTTTAACAATATATCTGATTTACTGTTGTTTCTCCAATGTTGCTGACCCCAGCAACATTTAGTGAACTGGTAAATACAGGAGGACTGACTCAAGTAAATATAGGATTATTTGCAATTAAGCAACAAAATCATATTGGACATATCTACAGACACACACAATCATAATCAAGAAAGAGCTGCAGTAATGGAGATATAGAATATATGTTGTAATATAGGAGCAAGAACTGTGTTGAATATAATATAGATATATGTTTATATTCTATGTTCTGTTGTATACTGTACATGTCAAGATTTGTCACATGCAAAAATCAGAAAAACAATACAGCAAAAGCAAAATTTAAAGCCACTGAGCGTAAAAATGAACAATATCATTCACTGGTGCCCCCTGGTGGTAGTGTGGAATAACACTGGAGCAGTCAGCAATGTGAGCAGCTACGTCACTGACACCCCATTGCTATAAGATGGTGAATGTGCGTGTGTAGAAGAGACACGTTTTAGCAACATTTAGTCCGTGTTGAACACTTACCTGTAGACGTCAGTGTGACCCAGCTCAGCTGACAACAGGAGAGGAGTGTAGCCCTGTTGGTCTAAAGTGTTCACATTCACTCCTCTGTCTATGAGAGCGGTTACCACTCCATCATGGTTCTGTTTAACAGCTGAGAAGAGAGCAGAACCCAGAGCCTCTGCACTCAGAGCTCCTCTGGGATTATCTGGAGTTTAGACAAGACAATAGAATATAAAATGTGTTATCGTCTAAGGTTTGCATATGTGCAATATCTGCTATTAAAAAGTGTACATTAAAAACACAACACATCACATCCAGACAGGACACATTTACATAAAAGCACAATACTCCATACAAGCTATATAAAAGGAGCAGGTGCTCGGTGGTGAGGACTGAATCGAGGTTAAATAAATCGGTGTGCTGAGGTAAAAAGCTGGCTTCTGAAAACAAGATATAGTGACAGCTTGTTTGTTTGCAGCTTCCTTCTAACATCTCAAAAAAAGTGAACGTAAAGTGAAAGTGGTAGTCTGCAGCTCCTTAAGACCAATGGAGGATTCACGTGTTGTTGTTTTTCAGCCCTGGAGACGAAAACAACAGCGCCCCCCTGCGTGTGGAGTAGAAGCAGGTTGGTTTGTCCTTTCTGGGCTACTGTAGAAACATGGCGACCAGCTCCGTGAAGAAAACCCGCTCAGTACGTAGATATAAAAGGCTAATTTTAAGGCAACGAAGATCAGGTTTCTTATTCATTTTCAGGTGATTATACACTAAAGAATACATACTTATTAATAATAGATTCTATTTATGCCAATAGGTTCCCCTATCACAGGTGAAAAGACTCACCGAGCAGCAGATGTAAAATTGATTCATTGTGGAGCTTGACGGCCTCATGTATAACATCGTATTCCACTTTAGCCCCCGCGTTTAGAAGGACAGTCACCGTTTTCTCGTCGTTCCTGGAAACGGCGTCAAACAGAGCTGTTAGTTCCCGGTTGCTTCTGGCGTTGATGGCGGCGCCGCTCCGCAGCAGCAACTGGGCCGGCCTCCAGTCATCCCCCACAGTGGCCGTGTGGAGAAACATGTCCTGAGTGTCGTGGCTCTCCGACTGCTTGGCCTCCACCTTCACCAAGACTTCCAGACAACTCAGGCGCTCGTTGTCCGCTGCCAGGTGAACGGGGGTTTTGCCTTGCAGATCCAGAGCGTAGATGGGGGCCCCGGCCTGAACGAGGGCCCCAACTGCCTCGGCGTGACCCCTTCCAGCTGCCCTGTGAAGAGCCGTGTGACCCTTCTTATCCTGCAGGTCCAGTCGGGCTCCTTTGCGGATCAGGAGCTCAATGGCGGACAGGTGACCGCGCTCAGCAGCTACATGTAAAAGAGTCTCGTTGGAGGAATTGACGGAGTTAATATCAGCGTCTTTCAACAGCTCCTCCAGCAGCACTACATCCCCTTCTGAAGCGATCATGTGGATGAGATGTTCTGGTTTACTTTGTGCCGGTTTGGGCTCCTCTGATTTTAGAAGTGGCACGCTCGTGTCTTCCTTTTCAGGGCTTCTAGATGTCTTTGTTCCTTTGGTGGCGGATAAAGAACGAGTCTTCTCAGTTCCATCCAGCCCAGTCTCTTTCCAGTCTCTTTCCAGCAAATATCCAATCAGCTGTCTCCTGGCATCTCGGACACGTTCATTCACACCACCAGCATAGGTCTTGATTCGCTGGTAGAGGTTGGGTTCTGCCAACATGAGACACGGATGGAAGAATATCCGACACGCCCTTTCACCTCTGGCCTCCAGGTGGTCCAGGACCCTGGAGTTTTGATCCATGCGAGTCGTGATGGTCAAGACGACGGATCGCTTCTCTGCCGTCATGACCCCCTCCGCGACCAGAAGATCCAGTAGATCCTCGGTGTGCGAGATTCCGTAAACTAGATACCTCCTCTTGACCCGGATTACCTCCACAGCATAGGGGTTGATGCAGGTTGATGCCGCTTGAGCGCCAAAACCTTTGAGTATATTCAACATTTTAATCACACGGGGAAAGATTTCCTCAAGCTTTCACACTTCAGCAAGTCATTGTTGTAACTTGTGGTTCTGGCTGTGTGTGTGTGCGTGTGTGTGTGTGTCCATGTGTGTGTGTGTGTGTTATACCTTATTGCTAAGTGAAAACACCCCGCCCTAGCAACAAAATACAGACAGATCTGTCCGGCTCAAGCTGCCCTTTGTGAGATTATATGACCAACCATTTTAGCATTAGCACGGCTGCAGCAGCACGGCAGTAATGATACCAGTCATACAATATTATCGTAGTTTGTAATTATACAATGTTTCTTCTGTACAATTCTTCTTTTAAATCATTTTAATAAACAGTCTTAATGTTCTGTTGATAGTAATTTTACTGTTTTTGCTTAATTTTGTATTTTGATGCTTTGGCAACATTGTTCTCGAAACTTTCATTTAGATAAAGTTCCTTTAAATTAATATATATTTTTTTAATTTAACCGTTATTTAGCCAGTATAATCCCATAGAGATTTGGAATCTCATCCTCCTCTTGTCCTGGCCAAGATCATAAGAGGCATAAAACTTTCACACAAGTGCCAACATAAAAACACAAAAACCTGATTTAAAAAAACAATGTAATTGAATTGAGAGAGATAGAGTGAACACGCATTCACTCTAACTGTGTGTGGGTGCAGAGACGTTGCATTCCCTGCATGACCCCATTCTGCTCAATCAAATCAAACTTTATTGTTAATATCTGAAAAGCCTGTGAAATAATAACTAAAACCGTAATGATGATATTGTGCCATATTTTACACCAAACACAAGTCATTTATTTATTTGTGTCAAATGGCAGAAGCCAAACAATACACTAAAAATACAAGATCCATTCAAAACTGTACTTAAAGTAGTTTTATAAATCAGAATGTATTAACATGTCAGCAGCATATTAATATAGGGGCTAGTTGAGGTAGATTGATACTTCATGGTTATATATTTTTCCTTATAAAATCTTAGTAATTAGCTATAACTGTCAAATAAATGTAGTGGAATAAAATAGGCTATAATAGTTTCCTCTAAAAATAACAGTCAGTATAAAACAATATTATATTAAAAGCACCTCAAAACAAAACAGCAGTGTTGGGTGTCTGGTTGTGAATTTGATTTATTAACGGCGTTGTTTAATTACTTATGGTGCGCTGCATTGTGGGAATAAGTATTGTTCATTTGTTGTTTCTTCTAAATAAACAATCAAATGAAAGAATTACAGATCTACAGTTACTGCGGATTTAGACATTGGATTTTCATTGCGATTTTTTAACATTATAATTTGTATTAATCTGTTAATTTGACATCAAACAGACGTCTCGTTGCCTCTGTGATGATCTTTTCATTGATTTGACCTTCATGCGGTCCAGTGTTCCTCTCGGTTGTAACTTCTCAGGGTTCACCTCGCAGCATTATGCAGAGATTTCAGACTCGACTCACTTCCCGTAATGCCCGCCTCCTCCTCCGACGTGACGTGGATCTTCCGAGCGCGCCCTCTCCTTATATGGAAGGGGCAGGACTCCGCCTTCCGGAAATGATGTCACGCTGCCCCAGGTTTAAGAAATCAGAACAGGCTAAAGCAGATTTACAGAGGAATTAGAATCATGACGATGATTATAATGATATAGTACTGTAGTGTATTTGTGTTGTGTAAGCAATATGATTATATGCTTTGTTAATGAGCGCCAAATAAACTTGATATGGCAATAAATGATTGAATCTTGAATATAAGAAAATAATAATAAATAATAAAAAAAAAATATATGAATAAAAATTGTTTTTTTGGACCTCATAAATGAATAAATAATGAGTAAATCCACGCCAGACCATCAACTTTCTTAATTTTTTTTACAATTTAATTGTATAGATATAATAATTGATATTGAATTACCCTCATGTTAGACTCAAACAGTTGAATTGGCTGCTTTATGCATAAAACCATGTTGTGAAAATATTCCTTTAGAATAAATGTATATAAAAGAAAAAAACAACAATGTGGGCAAAGTGGACAATGAAACATATATATATATATATATATATATTTATCACGTTATCCTTCACTCCATCCATTTAATAACCTGTCCTGTTTCTTTGACTCTTGAAATCATGACAGGTCTGTGTTCATTTAAAGCAATGACTCATACAAGCTGCAGAGAAGACATGAAGACTTTGAAACTGCAACGTTTCATTTCATCTTTCAGGTCAATGGGTCTGTGTCGCCCTCTAGTGGTTCATTACCAGCAGGACACACTGGTGGCTCGTGAGAGTTCCACACTGTAACCTGACTGCCACACCTGACCTCGTCCGACACATTCACCTGCTGCCACTAGAGTCTATATGCAGGGATGAGGATTATAATATTTGCTGGGTTTACTGTGGACATTAAGTTCATTTACTTTCAGTTGTATACAGATATACAAGATACATATATGTGTAATGGTTCGTCAAAATAACTCTGGTCATACCTGAACATATTGAACATATTGATTATTTGTTCCTCTAAGCTACTTTTTTACTCATTAAAAGTACATTGTAGTCTACAAGGTATCCAGAAAACACACCACAGTGGTACTTTTTTATGGAGTAGATATGTGTATTCACTTGCAATACAGGACCTAAAATGTCTTTCGACATGAGGCTTTCTTAAGTCACACGAGGACAGGAAGTGCTGAATAACTGTATGGTGCAACAGCACATGTGTGATTTTCCTGTTTATGTGTCAAATCAGTGAGATGTTGCTTATACCTGTTGTAATAACAGTGTATTGTGTCAACACCTGAGAACGATGGGAGGTTTTATAAGACATGTATACTCTTCAGATATCTGTCTGTGTGAGACATACAGTGGAGATATCTCAAGCTGGACCTGATCTCCTTCAGTGAGCCCGGATCAATACCTGCACTAATGGAATTTACCTTGAGGTGCTGGGAACTATACCAACATGTTGCAACATGCTTTATTGTTTGAGCTCGTGACATGGCACACCCACTTTTTCTTTCTTTTTCTCTCACACACACACACACAACACACAACACACAACACACACACACACACAACACACACACACACACACACACAATTTCATTTCATCTGGTTTATTTTCTTAAATATTGATTAGTTTCTGAAGTGATCAGAAAACAAAACATTTAAAAAAAATGTATACAGTATTCTTATTACAAATGGTAAACATAAGTACTCCGAGTTGATCTTATATACATATAACAATGAGTGAAACCCCATTAAAACAAGTTTAGAAAAAAAACAAGTAAATCTTGAAGCTTTTCTAATTGACTTTCTTACAATTAAGAAAGAAACAAGTACATTGTACTGTAACTCAGAAGTCAGGCAGCTTTTGTTACAACGTTTCAGCCCTTTAGAGTTGGCCAACACGCCCAAGTTCGAGGCCTTTATGGCTACACAGCAAGAAAAGTCTCTATTGCAGGTTCCTAAATCCTCTAATACTGAATTTCTCCTTTGATGATCATGATAAGTTCCATGCAGAGCTGGGTGTGGACAATAAAAAAATAAATCAAGAAAACTTCAGTCCAGTTCTGTTTTAAAAAAGAAAGAAATACAGCATGAAACAGATACAGAAAGGCATCCTGTTTGTTGTCATGCCCCCTCCCCCCACCCCCCTCTTGTTCATGGGTGCTGTCACTGTCCCGAGCCCCTCTCTGGGGACGCGCCACCGGGGAGCGCGTGGCACTTCAGTGCAGCCCCCCCCCCCCTCCCCCCCGGTCCTGCCAGTGTCGCGCCACATCATCCCAAAACCCCGTCACGATTTACGGGAGATGCAGCCACTCACACTCTCACAGGACGCGTCCGGTTCGTTCAACCATCGTCTTTAATCTCTCTCTCTGCTGTCACCTCCTCAGAAGGTCTGGAGCTGCTGCGTTAACATGAGCTGGCACCCGCTGTTGACGTGGTTCATCACCTTCTGCTTCAGCTGGGCCACCTGCTCGCGCAGCATGTTGGCGGTGGACGCGAGCTCCGAGTTCTGGGACTTGAGGTTCTTGACTTTGTCCTCAAGCCTGGAGATGCGCTCCAGCTTCCTCTTCCGGCACTTGGACGCGGCGACGCGGTTCCTCATCCGCTTTCTCTCGGCTTTGATGCGCTCCTGGTTCTCCATATCGATCGGGGAGAGAGGAGGCGTCTCCCCTGGCATCTCCGGCACAGTTTGGGGCTCCTCTTTGAGCGCCGAGAGCCGGGAGGGCTGCCCGTAGATGGGGGGGAGCTGCGGCGGGGCGGCGGGGAAGGACATAGCCGAGGTGGTGTAACCCGTTGCCGATACCGTGCTGATGGCCGGGTGGAAAGTGTTCAAGTCCTCGTAAACCGGCGAGTCGGAGCGCATGGCTGCGTTGTTGTTGTTGTTGTTGTAAACGGCGGCACCGGCAACCGGCGGCAGCGCGGCGTTGACACCGGTCTGAGGAGCCGAGGGGACACTCACGTTGGCGGTGCCCGGCATGTGCTGGTGGTGAAGCTCCGCCAGGGCTCGGACGAACCCCTCGGCGAAGCCCTCCTGCTCGTCCGTGACATTCTTGGGACACATGAACTGGGTCGGGGTCGGCGTGGTGGTGATGAGCCCGTTGCTGGACTGGATGATGAGCCGCTCCAGCTCCGGCGAGGCCAGCTTCAGCAAGCCCACGTCGGGGGAGGTGAGGATGTCGCCGGCTTTGGCACGGAGGTGAGGCTTCAGGACGCCGGACGGATCGGCGAGGTTCAGCGTCATGTTGCGCTTCAGCACTTTGGGGTTGCTGTATCCGAAGCCGGCGCTGTCGTGCTGGGAGAAAGCGTTGAGTGAGTCGTCATAGAAAGTAGTTTCCATTTTGGTATACATGGAAGAGGAACCGAAGTAGCAACTAAAGTCTTCAGCAACACAACTTTTCCTCCCCCGGTTCTTCTGGAAAAAACACACTGGTTTCCAAAACGTCCTCTCTGTGCGTAAAAAGAAGTTCCAAACATTGGAGTGCGCACTGTTCTTAATGAGACTTACTTCTATCAGAGTGTAATAGTTCACAAAGATGTCGCCAAAGTATCCAGCCTTGTATCGAGTCCGTTGAGTGGCTCTTCACTGTTTCTCGTCAGCCACCGACACTGTTGGTCCGCGGTGCTCGCTCTGCTCCGGTGCGCGTGTGTGTATACTCTGAGCCCGGCAGCGTGGAGGCTAAACCTTATCTGCTGCCGCTGCCTCTCTAAAAATAGCCATGATGTCACGACGGGGCTCTCCTATTGGCTGGGGGGCGTGTCGTTAGCGCGGGGTGGAGGGAGGAGGGAAACCAGCCCTTTCGATAAGGCGCGTTGCCTTGACGACCACCCAGAAGATTCTTAGTCTCGCGGTGGATTGTGGGATGAGGTAATGCTGCGAGGAGAGCGTGAGCGCGGTGCATTGTGGGATGACGTATTGTTTTTGAATCTCTGGTTACCCGCTTTACTGTCAGAGGCGGGACAGTGAAGTGTTGCTGCTGTACGTCTCTCTCTCTTCTTACAGAAACAAACAAAACTAAAACAAAACTAAAACGAAATAAAAAATAAAAAAACATGACACGGAAGTTGATGCAGAGGGTGAGAAAAATAGATACAAATAAATACATAAAAAATAATAAAAAATAAGAATAAGTAAATAAATGATGAATAAAAAAATATTTAGGGTTAGGTTCAATTTGTAGTTGTAATCAACAAACACTTATGTTTATATAATTTGACTTGAATAATCAACATGTTCATAATATAGTGCAAGATGTCAATATTTTTTGTGTTGTGATCCAGCTCTACTGTACATCTGTTCACTGACTTTTATTTACAACACTTTTTCTGTTAACATTTTGTACTTGTAGAAGTCTTACATTTAACCTCGTAGGAGCCCTTAAAAGTACAGTTGAATGATCTCTAATAGCCTAAATGATTGACATCATAAATTATATTTTAATTATATTATCATTACAGTAAATGAAAGAGACGCTTTCTTTTTTATTACCACATATTTGAAAAATGATCTGGCTTCATAACAGCTAAAAAATCAAAACAGCTATTTTGATTTCAAAATACCATTTTGTGATACAGTAAAGGGAAATTGCTCTTCTATGCGATTCTATTCTATTTTGCAAATCAAAGTTTATTCCACTTAAATACAAATAGCCATATTACATGATATGACATGAATACATTATAAATGCCTCTGTAAATTTAGATTATATTCTACATTGTTATAATATTTTCTTCAGTATTGTATTGTATTTTATTATATTCAAATATATTATACTCTATTCTATTCTACAGTATTCTATACAGTATTTTACAAGTATTATTTTCTAATCTGCATTATTTATTGTTTTTTTCCCTAATCTGCGGTCTTCTATTCTTTGCCAATAGTCTACTTTGCTGCTGGATCAGACGTCTAATCTTTACAGCTGGAGAAAGTTGTGAGTTCGTATAAACTTGGAAAAAGTGAGTGAAAACAAATTATATATATTTTCCATGTGTGTGTGCGCTCATGGTGGAAAGTCTTCTTGTGCTGAAAGTGTCATTTTTTGCTTCTCAGTCCTGGACATCGAGGTGGTCTCTGGTAGGTGGTCCGGTCCCCTATAAGTTGTCCCATATAGCACACATACTGTACACAAAACACTAGTTTAGATTAGTGGGAGTTAGAATTTGACACCTGGGCAGGTCAATATGAACATAGACATAATTACTTATATAAGAAATGCATTAAATCTGAGTTATTTACCTGAAGCGTATAGGGCCAAGTCCATCTCATTGAGTCACGTGCTCTGCTACCTCGCACTCTTTCCTCCCTGCAGTCATTAGCAGACGGATTTAAAAGGACCTTTTTGCTTTTACTGCATAGACCACACGTCTGAGAAGCTACATTTAAGACCTTTTATTTCTGCTACGCCTACAAATTGTTGAAGACGGATCCACAGTCGTCTGTTCGTCCTCATAAAGAGCGAGCACATTCCCTATTATCCATGTCAGGGTGTGTAATTAGTGTAGTCCAGTCCATTGTCCCATGGCCCTTGGTCAGAAATCACGTCTGGTTTAATGGCGGGAGGTTAACTGGCGAGTCCCTCTAGTCCTCCACACTCCCACTGTCTGGGTCATTTTCTGCCCCGCCAGCTTTACCGACTACCTCCAGCACACAATGTCTAAATATGTCGCCCTTGTGTGACGAGTAAATCAGTTCCCCGGCGCTGGCTGGCTCAGAGAGGCACCTAAGGAGGAGGAACCGGATCATAAAACACCACCACAGTCTGACTTTTTATGGCTGCTAATGTCGTCTTTATGTACTGTTGTATATGTCAAACCATGGCAATCAATAAAGTGGCATATGAATCTGATCCAACTGGTCAACTTAACTGATCTCGTGCAGTTTATTTTTTGATTGAATGGAGGTTAGGGTTGGTCCTTGAGGCTCACATGGCAAGAAATAAACCTCCAGAACTTTTTCTTTATTTTCTTTCATTTTTTTCTGCGTTTCTCTATATTTGGATTAACAGCCTAACAGGTATCTCCAAATGTTCTTTCAGTCTTTCTTATGCTTTCATTTTCTGCCAGTTCAATTCACATTATCGTACTTTTATACCTATCATAAAATAAGGAAGCAGAATAAGGACCAGTCGCTTAGTTGCTTGTTTGCACTCGATGTTCCACTGGCACATTCTGAAATATTTATCCACTTTGGCTCATTCATCTATTTATGACCGCTTTCCTTCTGAATTGCAGCAAATGAAAGACTCATAAGTAGGTGGTCTAGTGCCCCCCCCCACCTGACAGCAGGGATCCTCGTGTATGACTCCGCCCATTGTCCCAAATAGAGGAATTAAGCTGAGGGTAGAACACATGATGTCATTTAAAGTTATTATCTCGTTTGAATTAAAGCTCTTTTCGGAGTCAAATTGCACGGCAAAAGTCAGACATCTGTGAATTCTGTTTTATATACTTTCGAATAGTGTTTAATACAGAGTCCTTAAATGTTTCAACATGGCTGGAGCGCTGGATGAATCGGGTCTGCCTTTCTTCCCCGGTCGCCATGCGTAATGTTATAAAGAGGAAACCACAGCACGGTAGTTTGCCAAAGTGTTTTTCTGTGTAGGAATGTATGGGAGAGTTAGCATGGAGGAACCCTGCTGGTTTAAGTCACAATTCAACACCAGGTTGGGATATCCTGCTGCCTGTTGTGGTTCAGGACATTTGGTCACATGCCAGGTCCGGTAGTAACAGATTACATGTAATCAGGATTATGAAAATTAGGAACTATAATCAGGTGCAATTAGATTACAGTTACATTCTCAAGGATTGCTTAAATTTTTTCTTTGCATCTTTCAAATATAAGCATGTTTTTGTAATGGTAATTAGATTTGACCAATTCTAAATGCCAAATACTGCTGAAGTTAGTAGCTCCTCTCAGGTTGCCAGGTTTGTTAATGGTGAATTAGCTGATATTAGTTTTAGGTTTTTAGTGGTGATTTATGGATAGTGGAGTTTCATACCTTTTTATTTACATTGAAAAAAGAAAATTACCAATTTAAGTAAGTGCTCCTCTTGCGTTACAAGAGCAAAGTCCTCCATGTTTCAGCTGATTCACTGCTACCAGAGTAACAGGGACTCTTTTTTGAGACTTTGTGTTCTTATTGAATTATTCTGGTTGGTGGAGCTAACTGCAGGCTCTCAGGACTTTGGGAAGTGAGGTTTCAGTACTGACGAAATAATGAACTACAGCAGGATAGTTGGACAGGTAGCAGCAGGATGGCATTCATCCTCTGGGGACCATGAACATCTGTGAAATCTTTTTAATGAAATCCAATCAACAAAGTAGTGGACAGACCGGCGGACAGACTGACCGACCGACCAATCAAGAGACCGACAGACAGAACAACCGCCAGGACGAAATTACCGTCTAGGTAATGTCTTCTGGTCAACACATTTTGGTAAACAGACAAAAAGTTAAACTGCCAACTCAGGGTCTTGACTTAATAGTTACAATATGCACATTTAAAACATCTTGTTGTTATTATTTTATACGACACACGTTGTGGTGATTCAACTCCTTCTCCTTTTCAACTTTCCTTTCCTCTCCACCTGTTGATTAACAACGAACAAAGACTCTCGACTGTACTGTTTTCCTGCTCAGCTGCATCCTGACCTGAGGAGTTCTCCAAGTGGGCCTTCTGAGTTGTCTAGTCTTTAGCCGTTTCAACTGTTTTTTTATCATTAGCTTCCCCTCTCTCCTGAGTCTCACCTCTCTCACTGCCTCCATCCTGACATTACCTCAGCGCTGTATTTCCCTCTGGACTTAAACCCCCCACACACTTTGCCTTTCTCTTGTCTTTCTCCTTCTCGTCTCTCTCTCTCTCTCTCTCTCTCTCTCTCTCTCTCTCTCTCTCTCTCCAGTCCCTCTCATCTTACCCGATATCAGTGGCTGTCCAGGCAGCAGGATTTCCCCTGTGATGGAAACAGGCTGTGGCCCATTTGTATTGTTTCAGCGGCTCTTTTCAGTGAAATCTCACAGTGCACTCTGTGTTTGTGTTGGTATCATTAAAAGCCAAACCACCGGCCAAAGCACTGCACAGTACAAAAGGACAAGCACAACTGTAAATCCAGTGAAACATAAAAAAACAAAACAGGTTTTTACGTCAAACTGAGCACCCCTTGAGGTTTGCAGGGTGAGTGAGAGACAGGGAGACGGACTGTTGAAGCTTTTGAGACGGTGCACACTCACAATGGTCTTAGCCTGTCAGAACAATTGTTGTTTCAGCTGTTATGAGAAGGGAAAAAAGCACCCGGCGGTCTAGATTGTGTGTTGAACTGCAAGCTCACACACTTAGATGTGTATGTGCGTACACGTCCGGGTCCGCCTTTACTGGAAGCGCATGGACTTGTAAACGTATTTGTTATCATGTGAGGACACTGAGCAGGTAGATCGTATTTGGGCCAATATTTAGTGATCGTCTGAGAACCATGATTGTCTGTGTACATTTTTTTGCCGGTTCATCGAGTAGTTTTACCAGATGAGGAGAAACTTAAACATGCTGGTGACGTCAGAGGAAAAGTCAGAGAATTACTAAAGCCATCGGGATTCATTCTCTGGGGACCATGAACGTATGTAACATCCGTTTAGATATTTTAGTCCAGACCGACAGACAAACAGACGGAGAGGCGGA